TCATTTGTAGAGCCCTTGAATGCTGAGTCTGAAGCCGGACCTTCCCAGGGTCTGAGATTCCTGGGTCGGGGCCTGTCAGATCCAAGGCACTGATTGATCTCATGCTGTTTGCGAGGTTCCCAGTGCCCACCTCCTTCACCCCCATGGCCTTAGGCTCAGGTGGTGCCTCCGAGTACCTTCTGTTCTCCTGGCAGCAGGCTTGGTTGGCCTGGCTGGGCTGCAGTGGGCCGGATGCTGCCCCATTGGTGGCCCGGGCTCCAGGGAAGAGGTCTGCATGAAACGTCCAGCTCCCTCCAACCCTGGCAGGATGACGAGTGGTTCCCTGCATCCACTTTGCACCTTGAACAGCCGTCAGGAATCCAGGCTTCCTGTCGCTCCCAGAGATTGGACGTGGCAGCGGATCCTGGAGGCAGAGCAGTTTATTAGGCAGTGAAATTAGATTCCAGGCTGCGGCACCGGCTGCAGTCCTGAAGGACGAGGCAGCGGGAGGTTCCCTGGGGACCTCACACGCTGGCTCCCCCTCCCCCGGCCTCTCTTGGCTCCTGGGTCACCCAGCCCCCAGGGAGGCACAGTCTTATCAGAATGGACGTTATTCTGGGGACCCCGCCAGTGGAAGGGGAGCTCAGGCTTGCCCCCCACAGCCGCAATGAACAGCTTCACAGCCTCTGTGCTCCCTCTGTGCTCTCATCTGTGAAATGGATGCACACCTTCCCTGTCTGTTGGTTGTTGAATGCCTGGCGTGTAGCAGACATGGTGTGGATTCCAGCCTGGGGGTGGGGCTCGATGTCAGTGACCCCTGCCCACTCTCCTCTCCCAGCTCTGGGGACCTGGGGGCGAGCAAATGGGTGATAGCAACACGACTATTTTTCCTCCCAGCTCTGCCACCTGCTTATTAGAGGTTTATCTCATTAAGGGCTTCCCAGGTGGCTCTTGTGGTAAAGAATCTGCCTGCCAGTGCAGGAGACATAAGAGACGTGGGTTCGATCCCTGGGTCAGGCAGATCCCCTGGAGGAGGGCATGGCAACCCACTCCGGTATTCTTGCCTGGAGGATCCCATGGACAGAGGAGCCTGGCGAGCTGTAGTCTATGGGGTCACACAGGGTCAGACATGACTGAGCACGTACGCATATCTCATTAAATATGTAGAATGAGGCAAGTAATCCCAGCTACCTTTTGACTCAGTCTTTGGAGAGGGGGGAGTCTGGGTTGCGGGGACAACCTTGGGGGGCCGTCCCTGCCTGCACCGCGGCCCCCACCCTGGTGCCCTCCCAACAGTGACATGGGATGAGGTGGCAGAGGCTTAGTCATGTTTTTCCAGAAGAGAAATATTCCCTTAAGTCAGATGGGGGGAGGAGGCGGGAGGGAAGAGCCAGAGGCAGTGGGTTCTCCCTCCGGAAGTGGGGGCTGTCTCTCCCTAGAGCACAGGGGCAGGCAGACCACACACACACGTGCACCCAGAACCTGCGGGCACAGCTGTGGGCTTCCTGCCTCAATGGGTGTTGTCAGCCTTGGCTGGGGGGCTCCTATGGCTGATGGATGCCCAAGCCTCCAGCATCCTCAGTCCCTCCTGTCATCTCCTTCCTGCCCCTCCTCTCCATCATCAGAACCCTGCACTCAGGACCTATTTCGAAAGAGGGGTCCATCTCTGCCCAGAGCTCAGGCCATGGAAGTCCCTCCTGCCATCTGGCTGAGGTCTCTCCTGCTGCTTCGGATTCTGCAGGGCTGGGGCCAACCCACCCCCCACCCCCCACCCCCTGCCGCGGCTGCTGGTAAACTGGGTGCTCTGGGTGGTGCAGGCCCGGCAGCGCACCTAGGCTGTGGTGGTTCTGGCTGATGCTCACTCTCCAGGTGGCCCACCTCCCCCCTGCCTAGGTGAGCAAGGTCCGCTGTGCTTGCCTGCCCCGCCCCCCTGCCTGACCCCCATCACAGCCCCTGAAGTCTGAGGCTGGGGACCAAGTGCTCGAGATGCTTGTCTCCATGGCAACTGCTGCCAGGGAAGCATCCTGACATTGAATTCATTATCATAATTAGCCACCACGTACTGCCTTTGTGGACACCTTCTGCCACCGCTCCTTTCTTTCCCTGCAGCCTGGACAGTTCCTGGGCTGGAGGGCATGAGGACTACCCTCCCTCAGGGCCTGGGGCCTTGGTCAGGTGGCAGGGAGAGGTGCAGGATGATGCTGGGTGTTAAGATGAACCTTGCAGCAGAGAGGCTGGTCTCCCAGCGTGCGAGGGGTGGGGTGGACCTGCTCACCGGTCTGTCTGGGAGGAAGCAGCCTCTGGGGCCTGGGGGGTCAGTACCCAGCACACAGCTGGCCTCCCAGGGCCCCAGCGTTGTTGGCGGTATCTGCCCTGCACCTCTGCAACTCCTCTTCTGAGGAGGAGCAGGGCAGAGGGAGTTCTTCTGAGACACAGCTGCCAGCTCTGAGGAGTCTGCTGGAGGCCAGAACCCAGGTCACTAAGGCAAGAGAGACCCTGCCTGGCTCAGATTCCCCAGCATCTCCAGGATGCCCCAGTGCCCAGGGCCCCAGCATAACTGCAGTGGGTACCTTGCGATGGCCACAGGGCTAGGGGTGGTCACCGTGTTGTCCTTGGGAGAGCGGCACCCATGTCTGAGCTAGCCCCCCACCCCTACCAGCTCCAGTGGAGGGCCAGGCCCCATTGAAGTGCCGCTTATCACCAAGGATGCAGTGTCTCAAACCAGGAGGCCAGAGGCAGAGCCCCCTCCTGGGCTTGTGGGGCTTCTGCCTCCCTGTCTCTAGATGGGCATGGGCGTTGGAAGTCTTGGGGGCCAGGCTGCGGCTGGATGCTGGGTGGGGATGGCCATCAGTCACTGAGGTTCCCACAGACGGGATTGCTCTGGAGTAAGTGACTTCCATCAGCCAACTGCCTGCGAGTGGCCAAGGGCTGCGGGGGGCATCATTGCACTTTGGAGGTGTTCATCTAGATCTGTGGGGGCCCCACCTGGACCTGGCAGCACGGTGTAAGGGGTGCTCGCTCCCTGGGGGCGTCTGCCGCCCTCCTCTGCTTCCTCCTCGTTGAGTGGGCGTGCCAGCCTTTTTTCAAGTGTTCGTCCCACTGACTCCCCTGCATCCCCTGGCGGTGCCATCTGTGGCCATCTGTCCCAAAACATCAGAAACAAAACTGGGAGTGTGGCTGGCACTTACCGGGGGCGGGGGGAGGAAGGCTGTGAGGTCCCCACCTTGGGTTGCAGGTTTGCCTCCTGAGCTGCTGATGGAGCTCCTGACAGCTTGGCCTCTGTCTGCTGGGAAGAGTGGGACATTCTGGAATGTTCTGAGATGCTGGCAGAGCCACCTTGAGGAAGCCAGGCTGAGAGGGCCTGGTCACCCAGAGTCCTGGCCTCTCCTTTGTTCTCTAGAGGAGTGTTCTTATGCAGTACAAGGAGCTGGCATTCGTGGTTGCGGCCCTGGGCCCTGCCTGCCCGACAGATGAGGATGGCATCAGGCACCCCGGGGACCCTGATATCCAGTCTGGTCAGACTCGCCCTCTGCCGGGTCCCGGACTCACTGTCTACCCCTTACCCGCTCCAGGGCCACCCCACTTACTCTTCCCGCTGTCAGGAACAGCTTCCCTTCTCTGTTGGCCCCACCGGCTCTTCACCCTGCAGTGTGGTGGACACCTCCTCAGGGAAGCCCACCGGGTTGTATGTCCCCCCCAGCTCCCGAGTCCCGGTACTGAGCTGAGCTGGGTCCCGGTACCCCTTCTGAGGTGGGCGACCCTCTCAGTCTCTCTCACCACCCAGGCCTGGGCATCCTAACCCACTGCCCTGGGATCTCCTCCAACCCTGGCAGACCCTCTCTGGTCATGTGGGCTCCTTCTCACCAACAGAGTTGAGGGGAAGATACTGCCGGCAAAGATTTATGAATATAAGGCACGTGAGACATCTGGACATTTTTGTCCCTGGGCTCAGCTAATTGAATACATTGGCTAATGAGCAAAGGAAATTAATTGCGGTTTTGAAATGTGACCGTTTCCCCGCGTGCCTTTTGTCTGTGGCAGCAGCCTTCAGATAGAGCCGGAGGTGATGATGGAGCCAGGGACATGGGTGGAGCCAGGGAAGATGATGGCGCTATCTTCAGGGGGCCATGCTCCAAGGAGGGGCTGCTGGGTCAGCCCTGTGAGAGGGGTGGCCTGTGCCTCCCTGGACCTTGTTGCCAGGCCTCTTCCAGGCACATGGGCAGGACCACTGGAGGTGCCCCTGCATCTGGCTGAGGCTCAGTAGGCCTTGGCGCTGAGCACCCCCTCAGTGATTCTGGCCAGACTGGGCAGGTCGGGCCCAGTCTGTCACCATGGCCAGGCTGAGTTTGGACCATGTGGCGTTGGCTCTGAGGGTCTCATTTCCAGTCCACCTCTGCCACCAAGGAAGCCAGTGGTCTCGGCGCCCAGGGAAGGTGGAGCTAGGTGCCTGGGGTTTCCCAGGTGGTGATAAAGTGGGAGGGCACCTCAGGAGCCCTGGACCCCTGTCAGCAGCCCTCAGGGGCTCTGCTCCCTGGGATCCCAGCCCCACCCTGTCCCCTTTGGCTGGACGCTTGCTGCCCAGTGGTTTCTGGTTCTGGAAATTGACCAGTTCTCTGTGCCTCCTCCCAACACTGCCTGCAGGCGTGTTCTGGTGGTCAAGGATGCTGGACGGCATGGGTGAAGCTGGTGTGAACTAGGGGACAGGAAGTGTTTGCCTGTGAGCCTGGCAAGGACAGCTGTGGACAGGGATGGGGGACCATGCCTGGGGTGCCTTGTTTGGGGGTGGGCAGTGGCATTTGCTCAGTTCTCATTTGCCCAGTGACCCAGGAGGCTGTGCCCCTTGTTTGTTTTAGGAGCTTTGGGAGCAGACAGACAAGGGACATGTGGTGGGTGTCCTAGAGAGCAGATGAGGCTGGTCATTGCCATGGAGCCCTGGGGGGCGGGTGTCCCCTGCTCTGCCCTGTCCCTCTCTGTGCCACTGGGCACCCGGCCTGGCTGACCGCCCTCTGCTCGGTCCCCAGGTTCCTGCTGGTCTTCTCCTGTCTCGTGCTGTCCGTGTTCTCCACCATCAAGGAGTACGAGAAGAGCTCTGAGGGCGCACTCTACATCCTGGTGGGTCTCGCAGGATGGCGTGGAGAGACTGATGGCACTCGAGGCCGCAGGTGGCAGCCTGCCCGTGATCCCGTTGATCTGACCCTCCAGGTCCCCCACTGGCAGGGACCCCCACCCTCTGGCACCCACTGTTCTTCTTGGTAGCCCTTTGGTTCCTCCCAGTCTCCCCTCCTGACGTTGGTGATATTGCAACTTCCTCAGCCTCCACCGGCCCCTCCCCACAACACCCCAGCACCCTGTTCCCGGCCTGCCCCCCTCTCTGTGTCATCACAGCACCTGACAGCCCCCGCCCCCACTGTCCCTGTGCCCTTTTCCACCTTCCGTTCTCACTGGAGCCTGAGGGCTCTGGTGGCCCCCTCCACCTTGGAGTGTGGGGTGTTTCCCGGCAGATGTGGGCGTGGGGTGGGGGTTGTGAAGCTCACAGCAGTCCTGTGATGGGTAGGGGTGGGTGCCATGGCAACTGCAGGGTGATTTCTGTGTTGCTGTTGGTGATGGGAGGCAGGGCTGCAGGGAGCCTGATCCTGCATCCAGATGTACCTCTGGGGAGTCCTCCTCCCCCCTGCCCTGTGTCCTGGAGCTGCCCCAGGCCTGGGAGCACCCCCCACTTGGCAATTACCTGAGACCTTCCATCAGCTCTGCCCTCTGTGCCTTGCATGCATGCCAGCTACACAGAACGGGGCCCCACACCAGCTACACAGGACGGGGGCCCCACACCAGCTACACAGGACAGCCCCCCCCACTGTAGTGGCTCAGCTGCAGCGTCGCCCGCAGGAAATCGTGACCATCGTGGTGTTCGGTGTGGAGTACTTCGTGCGGATCTGGGCGGCGGGTTGCTGCTGTCGGTACCGCGGCTGGAGAGGGCGGCTCAAGTTTGCCCGGAAGCCCTTCTGTGTGATTGGTGAGGCCTGGTGGGGGTAGGTGGGCAGGCACAAATGCAGGACTGGCTCTTTCTGGAAGTTTCTTTCCACCTGCCCTCTTGGCATCAGAGCCCGTGGTTGATGCAGCCTGAGTGCAGGGCAGTGAGGTGCTGGGCAGCCGTGCCCAGGGAAGGGTTGGGCTGGGGGGGCTGTGGAACCAGGCCCTGCTGTCCCTTTGTGTGTGTCCATCTGTCCATCCTCCCAGAGCCCTGGTGGGGGCCGCCCTTCTGCAGCAGAGGGCCCACCCCCCAGCTCCGCCATCTCCCACAGACATCATGGTGCTCATCGCGTCCATCGCTGTGCTGGCTGCTGGTTCCCAGGGCAATGTGTTCGCCACATCAGCGCTCCGGAGCCTGCGCTTCCTGCAGATCCTGCGCATGATCCGAATGGACCGGCGGGGCGGCACCTGGAAGCTGCTGGGCTCCGTGGTCTACGCACACAGCAAGGTGACGGTGCCAGGCCAGGGTGCGGAGGGCTGGCCGGGCATGATGCAGCATCATTTCCTCTGGGCATGTTCCCGCGACTTGACCCTTGGCCTCGTCTCTCCAGCTTTTCTGCCAGGCCCGGTCCATTTAGGTCCCACCCAGAACCAGCTGGCTCCGTGGTGAGGGGGGTGTGCTGCATTAGTGCCCATCCCCCAGTCACCTGCCAATTAGGCTGAGGCTCGTGGTGACCACTGGCTGTGGGACCCGCGAGATGGCTGCAGTCCCAGGTCCTTCCCGATCCCCACCCTGTGTTCCCAGGAGCTCCACAAGCCCAGACCCCACCCTGCCAGGCTGTGCGGAGAGGCCCTCCTGCTGGTGGGTGACTGTATTGGTCCCCAGCCTTCTCCCCACTGTCCTTCCTGTCTGAAGACCCGAGGCTGGGCTTTGGTTGACAAGACAAAGTGGGAGTCTCCCTCAGCCTCAGGGAAGTTTGGGTGGGGCCCCAGCAGGCCCGACATTCCCCAACCTGCCCGCCTGACAGCCATTCAGGACCACTCCCTTCCTGGGTGGATGTGGCTCTGGGCCATCCCTGCCTGCCATCCTCTAGGGGTGAGATGCGCAGGTGTGGGACCACCCAGGGCTGGGGCTGGGGCTGGAAAACCAGCTGCCTCTCCTGTCTGCCCAGGCTTGGGGCTCCCAGGGACTCTGTGGCCAGCTCTCGGAAGAGGTACCTGCCCCGGAAGCCCAGGGGACCCAGAGCTCAGCGAACCTCCAGCCAGATGGGACCTTGTGCTCCTGGGCGGGTTGGGCTGGGTGCCAGCCTGGCAGCTGTGATGCGGCCATCTCTTTCAGGAATTGGTCACTGCCTGGTACATCGGCTTCCTCTGCCTCATCCTGGCCTCATTTCTGGTGTACTTGGCGGAGAAGGGGGAGAACGATCACTTTGATACCTACGCGGATGCACTCTGGTGGGGCCTGGTGAGTGTCTGTCCTCTGGGGCCAAGGAGAAGGGCCTTCACCAAGGATGTGCTCGCCGGACGTGGCCTGCCTTGGGGTCCCTCCTGCCCATGGTCTGAGCTCCCCCCACCCCTCCCCACGGTATGCCCCTGACTGCCCAGGCCTGGACAGCAGACCTTCAGTTCTCCCGCCTGACCTGGCTGGAGACATATCTCTGGGGCCACCTGCTGGCTGCTTCTGACCAGGATGCCACATGGAGGTGGCATCCCAGGTGGGCTGTGGTGGGGGATGCACTGGTCTATATGGGGTGGCAGGAAGCCTGGCCCTCAGGGAGCCTGTGCCCAGCCATGGCCGGTCACCTTCCTTCTCCGCTGACCAACCTGTGTGATCTCTGTGATGGAGGGGGAGGGGCGGTGCTGCCTGTCATGTTGATGGAGGGGAGTTTGAAAAAGGGGAACTGGACCCCCTGACTCAACCTCCCAGGCTGCTCCTGACGAGGAAGACTCCATCCAGAGCTGGTGAATTTTTGACCCATGCTCACAGCCACCTACCTCCTGGGCCCCTTGTGGGCCCCTCTCCTGTCACCAGGTGCAACGGCCTCTTCTGAGAAGAGGCTTCCTGGGCCACCCTCCGAAGGGCCCCGCAGACCTCGACCCCAATAGCTCGAGCCAGGACCTCCGTCTAGCTCCTCCTTGTCTGTTTCCATGGACGCCCCCAGGTGGGGGCCGAGTGCTCCTCCTTTGTTGTGCCTCCTCCTCAGACGGGGAACCCCTTCTGCATATTCCCCACCTACACCGGGGGTTTCCTCTGTGAACTTTATTTTTATTTTAGTGTTTCATTTTTGGCCGTGTTTCTTGATGTGTGGGGGTCTTAGTTCCCAGACCAGAGACTGAACCTGGGCCCTCGGCAATGAAATTGCCGAGTCCTGACCAAGAGACCTCCAGGGAAGTCCCTTCTCTGTGAACTGCAGACTTTAAAGGTTCCCTCTGCTCTCTGATGGGATGAGATTGGCCCTTCCCCATCCTATCATTCTTGGGAACCATTCCACCTGAGATCCCCTTGTTCTGCTCTGGGGGCTGGTGGTCCTTGGAGGGGCCTCATGGGCACTGGGGGAGTCCTCCCACTGCCTCGCTCTCAAGCTGGCCTCCCGAATGCTGGCTGTGAACACTGGCCTCAAATGCTGGCCCCAAGGACCGAGGCCGCAGCAGTCCCCCACGCCCCCAAGTCTGTCCTTGTTTTGGGAGTACATGACCTTCTGAGGGAGAAGTTTGTGAGATCCTGTGTGTGGAGGTGCCCTCAATCCCATGCCCCTCCTGGCAGCTGGACCCTTCCCTCTCTGGCCTCAGCTTACAAGGCCCCCCTCCAAAGACCCCTACATGACCCCTGAGCATCCTCAGAGGGTCCCTTGGCCCTGTTGCCTCTGAGGCTCCGGCTTTTTCGGAGCCTCCTGGCTGCCCGTCTGGCTGGAGGTCAACCCTCCTGGGTGAACCTGCCCTGCCCACCTCAGGTGTAATTGAGAGTGGAGGCTGAACACCCCACCCCCCGCCCCTTGTTCATTTTGGTTCTTGAGTGGGGAAGGGTGGCTGGTGGTGACCCCGGCCTCACGGGCCCTGCGTGGGCAGCATGGGGCGGGGGTCTGTCCAGCTGCCCTGAGGCCTCGGAGGGGGCCCTGGCTCCTGCCAGGCCTGGCTGAGGATGGGCCCTCTGTTCACAGATCACCCTGACAACCATCGGCTACGGCGACAAGTACCCCCAGACCTGGAACGGGAGGCTCCTGGCGGCGACCTTCACCCTCATCGGTGTCTCCTTCTTTGCTCTTCCTGCCGTGAGTCCCGCCTTTCCTGCCTTTGTAGGGGATGGAGTCTGGCCTCCTCGGTGACCACTGCTTTCCTTGGGGTCACGTGGGACAGGGCAGGGCTCCCCTCTTACTGCATCTCTGGGTCCCCATCAGCAGCCCCTAGCCCTGGGATTGACCAGCTGGGTCCCTGTGGCCAGGAGTGGACCTGTGGCTGATATGGCTCTGGCAGGTTTCCTGCAGAAGGCGTGGGGGCCCTGTCAGCCCTCCCCCTGCAGCTGTGCAGGGCGTGGGGGAGCTGGTGGTGCTTCTGTCCAAGTGTTCTTCTCTGAGACCCTGGGCCTCACCCCCCGCTCGTTGCAGTGTAGACAGACTGGGAAGGACTGTAACCTTAGTGCCCAGATGTGTTCAGAGTGGGCCCTGCCACTCTGAAGCCCCCGGTCTATCTCCTGGTGACTAGGGACTGGGGGTAGGGGCGAGAAGGTGGGGCCAGGAGTGTGCAGGCAAGGTGGGGGGGCTCTGGTCCCCGGGCGCTGTCTGACCCCAGTGACTTGCAGGGCATTTTGGGGTCTGGCTTTGCATTGAAAGTTCAAGAGCAGCACCGTCAGAAGCACTTTGAGAAGAGGCGGAACCCTGCAGCGGGTCTGATCCAGGTGCGTCCAGATAGCCCCCATGTGAGCCCCACACGGACCCATGGGACCCCTGGCCTGGGCCCGAGGTGTTAGAGCGAAGCCCCTCTGGTGTTTGTCTCCTGTTGGGGAATTCAAGTCTGTGCTGAGAGCCACTTAGATGCTTGCAGTGGCCCGGCACCTGTGGCACAGGTAACATCAAGGCCAGTGGTCTGTGGGCCCTGGGCCAGGCTGTCACCGGTGCCCCCGAGCTGTCCCCTCATAGCACCAACACTGCCTTGCACTTGTGGGATGGGGGTTCAGAGACCCCCATGCAGGTAGGTGGCGGAGCCATGTCTGTGCTGCCCAGCTTGCACCACCCACCCCATTACTAGGGTCACAGTGGCCATGCAGCGTCCAGCAGTGCTTCCTAAGCCATCCTGAAAGTGTGGGCCAGGCACAGGCTGCCCAAGGGGCTGAGGTTCCCACAGCCCTTCCCAAGGACCAGGGGACCCAGTGGACCTTTGGCATTGACTGACCTTTACTGCTGGCTGGACACTGGCTCGCGGCCACTTACCTGGCTTTCTTTTTTAAAGATGTGGTCTTGCCCATGCTGCTGCCTACATTTGTGTGTATATGTACACCTGTGTCTTTCACCATTAAGAACTTCAAACGACTGCTTCTTTTAAATGCGAAAGAGTATAAAGAAGAACAAAAATGCCCACCCCCCTATTGACAGTAGTCCCACCCACTATTGACACCAAAGTCATAGTACTCCCAGTGGTTTCCAGGTCTGAGCAGCATAGGGAAGGAACGCAGCCTGAACAGATAGCACTTCCCCGCAGCCCCCTCCTCTCTGAGAAGCTCCAACTTTTGGGGGAGGGTGGGAGATGGGGAGGCATTAGGGAAGGACCCCCACACACTGGGGACTCCATGAGGCCACACATGCCCAGCGCTGAACGCAGGCTCAGAAGTGACTGGAGGAGACCCTAAGTTCTTACCTCACCTGACTTCATGTGGTAGGAAGTCAGCCTCTGAGACTTTGGTTTCTTAATATGACAGCAAAAGCACAAGCAATGAAAGAAAAACTTTTGTGCATCCAAGGACACTATTTGAACTGTCTCCTTAGAGAGTAAAAAGATAACCCACAGGATAAGAGAAAATATTTGCACATCAGATATCTGATAGAGATCTGGTATCCAGAATACATGAAGGACTCGTAGCTCAACTACAAACAGACAAACGACCCAACTAAAAAATGGGCAAAGGATTTAAGTAGACATCTCTCCAAAGAAGATATACCAGATGGCCTATAAGAACGTGAAAAGATGTTCAACATCTTTCTTCATGGAGGAAATGCAAATCAAAAGTCCTTCATGTCCACCAGGATGGCTACAATTTAAAAAAATTAAGTTGATGAGGAGATGAAGTCAGAAACCTCATACGTTGCTGGGGGAGTGGGTGTGAAATGGTGTGGCTGCTGTAGAAGACAGTTTGGTGGCTCCTCTAAAGGTTAAACCTGTCACACAACCCAGAAATCCCGTTCTTAGGTGAACACCCAACAGAACTGGAAACAGGTGTTTAGCCAAAAACTTTCACGAAGGTGTTCGCAGTGGCACTGTTCACAGGAATCAAAGGTTGAAACACCACCTCAGCCAGTGAAAGGGTGCAGAAGATGTGGTCCGTCCACATGCTCGAATCTTGTTGTTGTTTTTAGTCACTCAGTCATGTCTGACTCTTTGTAACCCTATGGACTGTAGCCCATCAGGCTCCTCTGTTCTGGGGTTTCCCAGGCAACAATACTGGAGTGGGTTGCCATCTTCTCCAGGGGATCTTCCTAGGGATTGCACCTGCATCTCCTACATTGCAGCAGATTCTTTACCACTGAGCCACCTGGGAAGCCCCATGCTTGAATATGTCTGGCCTTAAAAAGAGCAAGGCTCGGACACAGGCTCCACCAGGGACAGGCCTTGGGAACATGCTAAATGGAGGAAGCCAGACTCAGGAGGCCTGGCACTGAAATTCTATTGCTAGGAAGTGTCCAGATTGGGGAACCACAGAGACTGACACAGATCAAGGATGGCAGACCAGGGGTGGAGGGAGTGGGGAGTCATGCTGGTGGGTTGGGGGCCTTTAGTCTTGAAGTGGTGAAAGTGTGTTGTTTGTCAAGGGGACATTTGCACAGCATCAGGAATGAGCTTAGCACCAATCAACTATGCCCTTTAAAAGGGTGAATTTTACGTTATGTGTATTTTACTCTGATTAACAAGAGCTGTTGGGAACAGAAGCCAGGCCCGGCCAAGGCTGGTGTAAAGGTCAGGCCTGTGCCCTGCAGGGGTTCAGCCTTACAGTGGAGGATGCAGCCCATGTCCTTGGCTCTGGCCCTCACCTCCTGTCCCCTGGGGAGGGCAGGAAGGTGACCATGATGCCGGGTGATGGCTGCCAGGCATTAGGTGGGACAGATGGAAGGGAAAGAACTGGAATTCCATGCAGACTCACTGCCGGGGCGCCCCTCCCAACTCCACTCTGCAGAGGTGACTGTGGCCCATGGGGTGGGAGCGACACTGGGCTGCTGTCCAGAGGCCAGTGCAGAGGGATGTGTGGGGGCGAAGCCCTGGGAGAGGCGGGAGGGCCCCTAGCGCCTGCCTGACCCCTGTCCTCTCCACAGTCTGCCTGGAGGTTCTATGCCACCAACTTGTCTCGCACAGACCTGCACTCCACGTGGCAGTACTACGAGCGCACGGTGACCGTCCCCATGTACAGGTACCTCTGCCCCCCACCACGCTGCCTGTGTGTGCCCCCCATTTGTCCTTAATCCCCATTTTCAGTTGTTCATCATTTTGTTTGCTTTTTGTTCTTTTTCTTTAAAACATGTACTTTTCAAAAATGAATTGTATGTGATTTATTTTATTAACTTTGTTCTCTGTTTTATAGTTTGCGGCTTTTATTTTTCACCTTCATTCCGCCCCCTGCTTAGTGTCCTTGCTGTCAGGGGTGTAGTGTGTGAGTCTGGTGGACACGGCCCCCTGAGCTCACGGAGGTAAATGCGGCTGCTTCCACGGACCACAGCCCGGTGCAGCCCTACTGGTGGGGGGCCCTGTGTTTAGAAACAAAAGGATAACCTTGACCCTCTGACCCCCAACAAGGGCCAGGGTCTCTGTCGAGGAAGGAGAGACACCCTGGACCACAGCGAGGCCCCAACAGGACAAGGTGCAGACACCCCCAGGATCCCTGCAGGGGAGAGAGTGTCCTGGGGAGCCCCCCTGGGAGTCGCATGGACAGTGGGCACCCTTTCAGGCTCTGCCCCTGGGGTGTGTTGGTGCCAGGCCTGGGCTCAGGATGAGGTCCGAGGTGAGAAGGGTGGGGGCCTGGCTGGAGTCCATGAAGGTCAGGTGCCCTCCGGTGAGTGCTGAACTCTGGGTCCTCTCAGCCAGAAGAGTCCCCTTACCTGCCCCTGGGTGTCCACCCACGGAGCCCTCACTGGGGCAGAGTCCTCCTGCAGGTCCCCACCTGCCTCTCCCAGGATCTGTCACCTGGGAAACAGTGCTGCCCTTTCCCCTCTCCAGCATTTGACCCACCAGCACTTCCGGGGACACTCAGTCTCGGGGTGCCAGGGGCCCAAGGGCACTCGCTGTCACCCCAGGCCCTGTGCTCCCAGCCCTCGAGGCAGGACCGACCCTCGTGCTAATTTTCTTTGTTCTGTTGTTTCCCCCACTTTCCTCAACTATTTTTTTTTTCATTTCCTTTTTCTTCTCCCGTTCTTTTACAATCTTCTGTTCCTTTCCCTCTGTGTGTGTGTGAAAAACACTTGAAAGCTCGCAAACTCAAACCTACGGGGCCTCCAGGTAGGATTGCATGGGCGGAAAGCGTGTGGTGTGATTCTGTTCTGTTGGGGACTGTCCCGGGGCCCCCTGAGCCAGCCCCGCCCGGCCTGTGGCCCCTACCTGGAGCCACACGCCCCCTCCTTGCTCCCCTGGTCCCCTCTCCTGACTGCCCCCACCCCCAGCTGCTTTCTTGTGCTGGATCTGTCTGTCCAGGTGTTTTCTGTCCCTTGTTCTGCTTCCTGCCTGTCTCAGTGGCTGGGGTCCTGCCCCTGTGCCTCCACCCTGCCCCTGGGGCCCCATTTATGCCCAGTGCAGAGGTAGTGGAGACAGGGTATTGGCCGTCCCAGTTTGGGGCACCCCCAGTTAGCAGCCCCCAGTCCTGGCAAACTGCTCTGGGCTTGGGGTCTCTCTCTCTCTCTGCATCCACTCCCCAAACCCCAAGTCTTTGCACTGCAGTGAGAGTGAGACTCGAGGCTGTGGACAGAGGGTCCTGTGGCTCATCCGTGTGGCCCCACTGACCGTGTCTGCACTGGACAGCTCGCTTCCTGGGGTCCCCTGTCTAGACCGGGTGCCGAGCTGCTCCAGGAGGGGTCTCCTGTGCCCTTCGTAGGCCCTGTCTTTCCCCTCAGAGTGGTGGCACTGTGCTCCGCTCTGCAGAGCAGGGCTCTCTCATCCTCCCTCAGTGCCCTGTGTGGGAACCTGTCAGTTAATCCTCTGCTCCCAGAAGGGAAGAGGGGGCCGGGCAGGGCCAGGCTCCGAAGGCAGGAGGGCCTGACCCCCCGCCCCCAGAGGCGGCGTGGAGAGGGAGCAGGGTCCTTCCCGGCTGCTGACCCTGGACTCCTGGGGCTCCAGGTGGGGGGGACCCTGCTTCAGACCCTGACAGGCTCCTCCCAGACCAGCAGCCCTTTGGTTCATCTACTCCAGCAACACCACATCCCCTGATGTCTGGGGAGACACCCCTGCCCAGCCCCGGGCCTGGGGACTGGTGGTGTCCTCCGCAGCCGGCTGACCCCTAGACTAACACTGCTCGCTCCTGTGTGTCCCACCCCCATCACCCGCTGCACCCTCGTCCCCCATGACTGGACTGTGTGTGCGTGGCCCTCGAGTGTGTGGCGCCTGCACGTCCTTTGCCCGTCTGTGTTCTGTCCCCCTGCCGCTCTGTGTCCAAGGCATGGCGCCCTAACTGCGTGTCCCTGCCCTTGACCCACGTGTGTGGGGGCTGAGTGGGTCCAGCTGCCCGGGGTCTCTGCTCCAGGCCATGGTGGGTGCTCAAGGTGGTGGGGAGACCAGCTCTGCCCCAGTGTCACTCCTGGGGCTCTACTGTGCCCATGGCTTGAGCCGACTGAACTGCCCAGGTCTCCTGCTTGGTCTGAACCTAAGAGGACAGGGGAGAGCCTTGGAGAGGAGTGGGGAGGGGGAGAAGGAGGGCGAGCGTTCCCAGGATCCAGGCCTGGCGGGGCTGGGACTGCAGAGGGAACAGAGGGACGGGGCCACACCTGCTGGCCCTGGGATGGCAATGACCAGGGCAGGGCCGGGGGAGGGATGCTCCTCTGGGTGCTAGGGGCATGGCTGGGCAGCGGAGGAGTTGGGAGAGACCAGAGCAAAGTTGGAGGCTGACTGGCAGGGGCAGGTCAGGGCTGCGGGTACAGGGGGTCAGGGATCTTCCTGTTTTGGAGACAGTGGGGAGTCCGAGCAGAAGGACTAGAGCGAGTCAGAGGAGGATGGGCATCCGGGGACCAGGGACATGGGGTACATGGGAGGGACAGGAGGGGGTAGGGGCTGGAACCAGGGTGTGTGCGGAATGGTGGTACTGCGGGACAGAGTGAGGACACCCAGGAGAGTCTTGGACACAGTTGCCTGGGAGAGTCAGGGGTCCCCAGGGTCAAGAAGGCCTGAGGCTCAGGACAGGGTTTGGGGACCTGGGGCTCAGTGGGGATGTCACAGACAGTGGGGGTGTCAGAGCAGATGGGGGTGTCAGAGCAGGTGGGGGTTCACAGACAGTGGGAGTGTCACAGAGCAGGTGGGAGTTCGCAGACAGTGGGGGGTCACAGAGCAGGTGGGGTGTCAGAACAGGTGGGGGTGTCAGAGCAGGTGGAGGCTGAGTCAGGAAGGAGAGACCGGTGCCTGGAAGCTGACAGGGTGACTGATGGACGAGATGGAAGCTGAGGGTTGAAAGTGTCCAGGAATCAGGTGGGAAGTGGGGAGTGGGGTGGGGAGGGACCTGGGGAGTGGGGTGGGAGGAGGGACAAAAGTGTCCCCAGACAGCATGGGGACCCAAGTCTCTAGGTGAGGCTCCTGCAGCTGGAGGTGGGGGCGTGGGCTTCCCCAGGAGCCACCCAGGTGTACAGACCACTGCCTGACATCCCAGAGGTACTTGATTCACCTCTGGCTTTCTTGCTGGTGGCCACAGCCTGAATGCTGGATTGGCAGGCAGGCCAGGCATGCGGCTGTCCTGGTGGGTGGGACTCCATCTGGGAAATGGGGCTCAGAGTAGGGCCAGACCAGTCACCCAGGAGCCGCCCAGTGGGCTCTGCCCAGCACAGTCCTTTTCTGGGACCTCCGCCCTGCTCAGCTTTGGCAGAGAGAGTGGCTCAGAGAGAGAGGGGTCTGGGAGTCCTAGGATGTTGGGGGCTGCGTTTTCAACTGTGCTGCAAATCCAGGGGGTGTTCAGGAGTTGGGAAGGGGGAGGGGCAACCCCCCATTTTCTGGTGCCCTGCGGGACCTGCTCCATGTGGGCGTCCCTTCTAGGGATGGCCTGGACACCACCCACTCCCAGGCCGAGGTGCCCAGGGAAAGTGAGCCCAGAGGAATGCAGAAAGTGCCTGGGCTGCAGAGGTGGAGGCACGGGCTCCCCGGGGGTCTGCTGCCGCCATGGATTCCTCCTGTTTCTGCCTGTGACAGATCATCACGGCCTGTGTCCCCATGTGAGATGTGGACACCGGTGAGAGCTGGCATGGGGGTCCCTGGGGCTCTGGTGGGTTGTGGGCTCACTCACCTGTCCTCTTGCTGCAGACTGATCCCGCCGCTCAACCAGCTGGAGCTGCTGCGGAACCTCAAGAGCAAGTCTGGACTTACCTTCAGGTGGGCGGGGGCGTCCATGCTGGCTCTGATCCCCTGTGGCTCCATGAGAGCCAGTAGGGGTGCCCAGGCTGAGCTAAGGCCCCCGATGGCTCAGAATGTTCACATTCTATTGCTGTAGGCCCTGGTGCTGCTGGTGGTTTTCCCCTGTTGCTGACCAGTCTTGGCTCCCATCCTGAGGGCTGCTGGTTTGGGGGTGGGCACGGGGGAGGTGGTACTCCATATGGGGCTGGGAGGCTGGTGCTCTGGCCACAGGTCAGAGGAAGAGTCCAACCCTGGAGCATCGGGTGGAGACACGTGAGTAGCACCTGCTGCTTCCTTCACGACCACAAAGCCTGCGACTCCTGGAGCACTTGACACAGACAGGCTTGCCAAGGACACGAACTGGCCAGTGGGCGAGGAGGGGAGGATGCCTGCTAGACCCAGCGCCCAGGGCTATTTGAAGAGCTCTCAGCAGTGGGGCATCTGGAGAGGGTTGGATAGTGCCCCCCTGCAAAGATTCATCTGTGTCCTGGGACCTGTGAACATGACCTTATCTGGAAGAGTCCTTGTGGGTATGGTTAAGTGAAGGACCTTAGCTGTCCTGAGCATCGGCAGCTCCAGAGCTTTCTTCACACGTTCTCTTTGAAAGTTTGTTAATATTGGTGATGCTGATTAAAACAAGTGTCCATAAACATGGGGCCATAGCACCCTCAGTCTCAAAACTTCTCGTGACCACTTCCAGATTTGCTGTCCCTCCGCTGCCTCCTTGAGCCCCCAGGGAACTCTCAGGGATGTGTGGGCTGTTTCTGCACCCCTCACACGCAGCCCTGGCCCATGGGAGCATTGTGCATCAGCTGCCCTGTGTGGGGTCCAGCCGCTGGGCTGGCTTCTGACATCCTGTGCTTCTGTTTGCAGGAAGGAGCCTCAGCCGGAGCCATCTCCCAGGTCAGTGCCCGCCTGCCTTCTGCTGCCTCCGCTGTGCTCTGAGTGTCCCGTGGAGCTCGCGCTGCTGCGGGGCCTGTGCATGCTCCCTGATGCCACTGCGCGAGGACCCCTGCCCGGTGGTGATGTGGGCACCTGGGTCTATGCCCCCTTCCAGGCTCCCAAGCTGAGGGGCAGCTCCTGTCTGCCCGCCTGTGACTGCAGCCCTTTGGGCAGGAGTTGGGGGGCTTCCAGGGGAGCAGTCTCACTGGCTCCAGGCACAGGGTCTGGGCTTCTCTGAGTCGAGGGTGACCCAGGTGGACACTCCCACGGGGTGTCCCAGACACTGCAGATCAGGGTCAGGCAGTGGGGAGGGGGGTGCTGTTCTGAGGGGAGGTCTTCACACCACCCCAGAAGGTCTTGGTTTGTGGAGGTTTCTGGAGGATGGAGGAGTGGGAGAGGGTTCCCTTTGGGCAGGGTCTCCTGCCCCGCCTCACACCCCCTGGGTGGGCACCCGTACCCCACTACTCGTGTCTGTCTAGGCCCCTGCAGTTCTATTTGGTGTATGTGAATTTGAGACCGGGACCCCAAATGGGGACTCCCGGGGGTGATCTCAGCTGGGGTTAGGGTGATAGCACCCTGCTGTTTTCCTAGTTTTGAAAAGAAAGCCAGATCAATTCACTACTTTTGAGGCTGGTGACCTGCAACCTGCCCATGTACTGCTGTGTATCCCTGAGCTCAGGGGTTCCTTGGTGCCCTGTACACCTGCATGGGGAGTCCCGTCCCCCAGGCCATGGGCCAAAGACGCTGCCGGCTTGTTCATGCCCTCCTGGACTGAAGGCTGCTCAGCTGGGAAGGCACTGGGCTGAGCCCTGCTTCAGCATCCATCGGAGGTGGGCATGTACCCCACCCCTGAGTCTCTAAAGCGGGTTGGCCACTGGAGCTGACCTGAAAACATCAGCAGTGCTTTGCCTCCAACCAGCCCAAAGAGCAGCAGAGATGACCCTTTAGATCCCAGACCAGAGTGGCTTTATCCTGGGCAGTGACCTCTGTTCTCATGGGCACAAACCAAGGGGCCCGGCACTGGGCTGTGGTCAGGTGGGCAGGGAGGGGGAGCAGCAAGCCTGACGTCTGGGGCGCCCCAAGGCTGCTCCGCTTCATTGGTTCTCGTTGGTGCTGCCATCAGCCCCTCCTGTGAGCCCCCAGGACCCGGAGGCCGAGCAGGTGGGCGCGGCTGCCCTCAGCTCTGCCCAGTGGGCGCTCTCTGGCCCTCGGCACGGCCCCTCCGGCCTATCGCGGCTCCCTGTGCTCACCGCCTGCGTGCCTCTCCCCTCCAGACAATTTTCGTCTCAGCCTCTCTCTCTCTCTCTCTCCTCTCCTGCCCTCCCCTCCCCCAATCTGGAAAATCTTGCCTGCCCCCCCAAGTGCCTTTAATCATGTCACTGCCCTTCTTGGGCCCCTTTCACGTCCGCTCTGTCTTTGGGGATGAGGTGGCTGACCCTGAAAGCAGGACTCCAGGTGAGGATTCACGGGAGCCCCCTGGCTCTCCGGCACGTTCTGTGGCTCCCCTTCCTCGAACCCGCTTTTTGCTCCTCCCTCCCTTCCCGTGTGTCCGTGTGTCCCTGCCTGTGACCAGCGGCTTCCCCTGGGGGCCCCAGGCTGAGGCCCTGGGACAGAGGGCTGCCTATCCTGGGAGCACACCTTTCAGCCAGGGCATTTCTGTGCCCCGACTGGAGCAGCCAGGAGCCCCTGTGCAGCACCTGGTGCACAGTAGGTCTGCAGGAAATGGTCCCGCCCTGGACACCTGTGGGTGGGCTGTTCCTGGGCTGCCCGGCGAGGGGACCCTAAGCAGGTGGATGGGGTGGGTGCGGGGCTCCTCCACTGCCGGGAGACCCTTTGGTCCTGGCTCATGGTGGGGACATGCACTGTTGGCTGTGTGGGCGTCAGACCAAGGCGTGGGGCTGGCAGAGGGCGGGGGCAGGTGGGGGTCTCCGGCTGTGCTGCTCCGGGTGTGGCTCTGACCTGCCCTTTGATCTACCCCATTTCTGACTGCCTTCTCCTGTGCCTGGGGAAACCCCTGTGCCCCAGCTGCTTTGCTCCCGTCCGTGTGGCCCCCTCTTCGTGGTGGGGGGCCGTGTGCCGTGTTTGGGTGCGTGTCTGTCCAGTCTGGTGTTGGTGACTGTTTGTGGGCACCTCTTCCACCCTCTTGAGCCCAGGCCCCCCCGGGCTGCATGTGGGCAGGAAACCCCAGGGCCAGTCTAGAGCCCAGAGGCGATGGGCTGGAGTCAGGGCTCCTCACTGCCCACCCCAAGCAGAGGAGCACTGTTCAGGGGGGTTGGCTGGGCCACCACCAGTCCCCCTCCCTCTGCTCTTGTCCTGCTCTCAGACTTCCTTGTTTCATGCAGGAGCCTCTGGCCACGTGAGGCTGTTTAAATTTTCATTAAAACTAAAGAAACCGCTGCAGTTGGAGAGCTGCTCCCCAAGCTCCCGTGCGTGGGAGCCAGGCTTGAGGTGTCACGTAGGAAATGGTGGGTGGGCAGTGTGGGGCTGCTCATCTGTTCAAGGCTGGGGTTCTTCCAAAGAGCCGGAGGCAGACACCCCACCCCACCTCATGCTATTTCCTGGGGGAGGAGCCCCCAGGCGGGGCAAGGCAGGGCTCTGTGTGCAGGCCTGGGGACCCCTGCAAGGAGCTGGCCATGTAGATCTTGGTCTTTAGGGTCTTCATCTGTCCAGCAGGCCCTGGTAGAACTGTGGCTGCCTCGGGGGTGTGCCGGGGGAGAGCACGTTTGCCCTAAATTTGAGTTCTGTGAGCTTCTGGGGGGGGGGGGGTCCGAGTCCTGGGAAGGTGTGCCCCTCCGCCCGGGGTGGCCCTCTAATTAGTTTTTTTCTACAACCTGAAGTAACTGGGGAAGGTCCCACCAGGGAAACGCACACTCTCATAGTGTCCTCCACGGAGGACGAGGCCGATGAAGCCGAGGGAGAGCTCTTTGAGGAGCCTTGACCCTAGCTTGCTGGTGTTAATGTGGGGAAATCCTTGCTGGGACAGTGGCAGGTGCCACCGGTGTTTAAGTGAATGTGAGTCGACACTGTTGGCTGTGTCCGGGTTTCTAGGCGTAGCAGTTTGACAGTCACTGTCTCAGAAGCAACAGCTTCGAAGGTGGAGGCAGAGAGTAAGACCCCAGGGAAGCGAAGGGTTTCTTGATGTTCTCGCTGGTTCTTTTCATTTCCGCTTAAAAGTTTTGTGGCTCAGACAGTAAAGAATCCGTCTGCAAAGCAGGAGACCCGGGTTCAGTCTCTGGGTCGGGAAGATCCCCTGGAGAAGGGAATAGCAATCCACTCCAGTATTTTTGCCTGGAGAATCCCATGAACAGAGAAGCCTGGCGGGCTGTGGTCCATGGGGTCACAGAGAGTTGGACATGACTGATCAACTAACACACTTGCAGGTTATTGTGCACAGCTGAGGCTCGCTCTGGCCTTTGCCGAGGGTCTTGGGCAGGCTGACCACCAGCTGCCTTTCCTGAACAGCTAGCTGCACGTCAGGATAGCCTTCACCCAGGGTCCGGCCTTGGCCGGCCCTTTGATGTGCAGGTGCCCCAAGCCTCCTCCTCCTTGGCTCCCCTCTGGGCAGAGGTGGCCACTGCCTTCTGGGTAAATGGGGGCCACTTCTGATCAGGCCGCTGGCTGGGTTGGTTTGTGAAGCCAAACTCGCACGTTTTTCCTCTGAAAACGTGAGCTTTCTGAAATCCTGTCCCTGTAGAACCAGCAAAGCCTTAGCCCATGTATTATTTTTTTGTTGGCATGAATATAGCAAAAAATAATACATCTTTTGAAAGAGATGGCCCCAAATAGATGCTGGAAGGAAAAGGTATTTTTGGAGAGAAAAAAAAAGGATTTCTTTTTCTCTCCAAAAATAGGGACTATTTTCTTTTCCAGGCTGACGGAGGACTTCGTGCGCGACCTCCGCGCTCGCACTTCTCTCTCCCATGCGAACTCTGTGGCGGGTGCACCCCACGCCCACACGCCTGGCCGGGGTCCCTCCGGTCGCCAGCGCCCCCAGGACTAACTGTCCTCTCCTCATTTCCAGTAAAGGCAGACGGTGCGCAGAGTCCCTGTGTGGATGCTGCCCAGGACACGCTAGGTACCGCGGACACGCCTCTCGGACGACCATTGCTGCACGGCTCTTGTCCCCTCCCGCTCCAAACACTCTGCTTATTAGAGGTTCTAGATGCGCCAGGGAAAGGCTGGCGCCCGCCCGGCCCCCCAGGCCCCGATTCTGATTGGAAGCTCACCTCCCAGCCCCTTCGTGGAGCCCCTGCCCCCCTCTGACCCCAGGCGCCCTCCTGGGCCACAGGGGCACGGCGCTAACGCCCTTCCTTCGCCTCAAGCCAAACGATGCCCCAACGATGCTGTACTCCAAGTAGGAGAGGGGCCGGCCAGGGGGTCTGAACCCGCAAAGCGCGCCTTCCGGGGTCTGATTGCTCTCCTGCGAGACTTCCGCATGGCTGGGCCATCTAGCACCTCTACTACGCAAGGGAGGGCACTGCCCTCCACCTGCTGCCCGCCCGCGGGAGGCGGCTCTGTCCTGTGTGTGCCGGGCTCCCTGTGGTCCTGGCACACCAGACGCACCGGAAAGCCCGAGGTCCGCGGCTCCTCCCTCCCACGTACAGGCCTGGTTTAGGGCAGACTGGAAACGGAACGGTGGAAGGGCCGACCTTTGCCCTGTGGGCTCCCTGACTGCCGGCACGTTTCCTCTCTCTGTGCCCTGTCTGCTCTCGGGGATGTGGAAGTGTCTGTCCTCCTGCTTGCTCTGGGCCCCCTGCTGCCCGCCCCACCCTGCCCCGTGCGGCCCGCAGGTGCTGGCAGCTGCACTCACCAGTCATCGTGTGCATGTGGTCCGAGCTGGCCCTGGAAGCAGGGGTGTTGAGCGGTGGGCGTGGGGAGGGGCTGGGCAGCAGGTCGGGGCTCCAGGGCGGCATGCCTGCACACCTGCATCCGTGCATGCTCGAATCCTGCTCCCCCAGAGAGGGGCTCGGAGGGGAGACCTCCCCCCACCCCGCACCTGCCGTGCTGCCTGTGTGTTCTGAAGTAGGCCTGCGGGGGTGGGGGGCTCTTGCAGCCCTCGGAGGGGAGATTTGGGGTCCCAGCAGAAGCTGTCCTGCTTGCCCAGAGCTTGTGTCCAGGGTGCTTCTGGCCACAGGCTGGCCTATCAGGTCGGGGGCTGTGGTCAGGCTGCCTGGGAACCGGAAGGGCCAAAGGTGCCCACAGCCGGTCCAGGGGCCGAGGCCATGCTTGGCCCCGATATGTGTGTTTCACAACTCTCCCCTCATCTTCCTCACCTTCCCTGGGCATCCAAGGTCCAGCTGTGGGCCAGATGGTTCTCTCGGTGGATGCTGGCTCTCCCCCCCACACGCTGGGCCCTGGCCGCGCAGACTAGGGTATAGGGGCGCTCAGCCGGGGCGCCCCCTCGCTTATCCCTGTTGATGGCTGGCTTCTCTTTTTGGTGATTTTGCCCTGGATGGGGGATGGGGGTGGTGGCAGGCAGGAGAGAAGAGGCTGGGCCTTGCTTTCTCCCCCAGACCTTCCTGAGCTTGCTCCCTGGCCCCGTGTAAATGCCCTTCACTTGGAGGGTGGGCTAGCTTCCTGCTCCTTCCCTGGGGGCAGGCGGCCAGAGCCCCACCCTGCATTTGCTTTCATCCTTGGCTTGTGAGGTGAGGGAGGGCCTTTCTTGACTCCTGCAGGACTGTCAGCACTCGAGCACCTGGAGTTAACGAAGGATCAGGGTGGCTGGGGGGCTGTGTGCCTGTGACTCTGAGTTGTGATAACTGAGAAAGTCCAGACTACCACTCATGGTCCCCCAACAGGGCGCTCCTTTCCGGTCTGAGCAGTCTGAGAGTCAGGGATGGGATGGCGGGGCCAGGGCAAGGGCAAGGCCAGGGAAGACTCCTTCCTGTGGCTCTGTCCTCGTAGGCAGCTGCGTGGGGCCAAGTTCCAGGGACCCCTGGTGTGCACAGGACAGCAAATCCAGCTGGCGGTCCCCATCAAATTCTAGGTGGGGCCCTTGCTTCTTGGTTCTCCTGGACCAGCTGGTGGTCTCCTTTGGGAATGACAAGGGTTATCTGCACACTGGCCCCCGTGCCCTGGCTCCGGGGGTCCCTCAGCCTCCCACCCCTGTCTTGGCCTCATGCCAGGCACAGCAGTTACAGGCTTGGGGTTAGTGTCCTGAGCAAGCAAATGCCCTGGCTCCTGTGCTCAAGGGGACCCTGGGCACCCAGAGTCTCTGGGGGAACCTCCCTTCCGAGTGGGCTCCCTGCCTCAGGCCTGAGAACTAGCACAGAGGGTCTCAGCTGGCTGGGGGCAAGGTGGGGGCACCAGCTTGGATTGCAGTGTCTGGGCTGGGTGGACCAGGCCATGGACCGTCTCTTGTCCATGGCCTGTCATCTCTGCGCCGTCTGACGCTGTGTCAGCTGTGGGTCCCCCTTGGGTCAATGGAGGTGGCTGACCCGGGGCATCACTGATGGGACTGGCACTGTCTGAGGGATCAGCTGTGGTGGTTGCTTCCCAGGGGCAGCAGAGGCCCTGCCAGGTGCCTGTGAGGGCTGGCGCCAGGCCCTGGGCCCCAGGGCAGTGCAGAGGCCACTCCAGGAGGTCCTGTGGCCCCTCAGTGTGGTGGCATGAATGGGTTCACAGTTCACAGGGACTTCGCTCTCCTCCAGGCAGATGGCGGTCTGTGGGAGGAAGTGAGTGGCCGCCTGGCCCTGGGCCTGACCTGTGACTACCACGACTGCTTCTGTCTCCTGCCTGAGGCCTGGAGGATGTTAGAACCAACAAACTCGGGGTGTCAGATCCATCTCTGTGGTTACCAATAGATGAGGGCAGGGAGCCCATTATGGGGCTGCGGCTGGATGGCCACGGTTGCCCCCTCCCTGTGGCCTCTGGCCAGGGCTCAGCTGGCACCCCAAGTGTTCTCCAGAGCGTGAATGTTCTATTTCTGGATGGGTCCTGTTTGGGGGAACCTGTGCTGCCCTGGGTAGAAGGGGTGGGCAGACCCTTGCCCTCCGTGCTGCTTCCCCTCCCCCTCCCCTGTAACTCTTCCTCCAGGCAGCTCCCCAGGGTTGGGCAGATGGGCCCAGGGGTCAGCTGCAGACCTCACCCTCCTGACCTGGTGCAGTTACGAGGGTGGAGGGGCAGGTGTGGTAACCACTGAAGTGGCTGGGTGCTCTCAGGCGGTGCCCAGGACGTTTGGAGTAGGAGGCCTGGCCGGACAGTGTGGCAAGAGCTCAGGCACCTTTGGGTGGCAACTGAGAGTGATTTCAGAGTCCACTGACCGATCCTTGGCCAGGCCAAGCACCCAGTGGGCCCCGGGAGTCTGTGGTAGGGCTGACTCGTCTCCACTCACCCAGGCAACCCTCCTTCCCCATCCCCATGGCCTTGGCGCCCCATCTACCCGCCAGCAGCCAGTGGGCTGGAGTGTTCTTTGCAGGGTGACCTCTCTTGCTGTCTTTCTGTGTGTCTGTCCGTCTATCGGTTCTCGCGGGAGCAGTCAGAAGGTCAGTTTGAAAGACCGTGTCTTCTCCAGCCCCCGCGGCGTGGCTGCCAAGGGCAAGGGGTCCCCTCAGGCCCAGACCGTCCGCCGGTCACCCAGCGCCGACCAGAGCCTAGAGGACAGTCCAAGCAAGGTGCCCAAGAGCTGGAGCTTCGGGGAACGTGGCCGTGCCCGGCAGGCATTCCGGGCCAGGGGTGCTGCTTCGCGGCAGAACTCGGAAGGTGGGTTGGGCAGCCCTGGGGGTAGGGGCCTGCTGTCCTGGAGCTCTGGGAGGCGGGGCCACATGGGCTTGTCCTGCACCACGAGCTCTGTGCTCATCCACTGCACTGGTGACGGTGTGCCCCTGCTCTTACGACAGACATTCCCCAGGTCCCGTGTGTGGACATATCACGTTTTGTCCATCTGTCCATGCACATTGATGCCCTCTTATACTCTCATGGTGGCTGCCCCCCAAGGAGCACAGTTGAGGGGAGCAGGCTGAGAAGGCAAGAGTGGGGGGCTGGAGCGCTGTGGGACCAGAGCACCAGGCCCCTCAGTGCCAGGGGCTGCCCAGCCTCTCACGGGCTGTGTCCTTCCACCCAGAAGCAAGTCTCCCAGGGGAGGACATCGTGGACGACAATAAGAGCTGCAACTGCGAGTTTGTGACAGAGGATCTGACCCCAGGCCTCAAAGTCAGCATTCGGGCCGTGTGGTGAGGACCTGGCTGCCTCTCGCAAAGCCATCTGTGCACGCGGGGCCTGGGGAGTGGGTGTGAGGACACGGCTCCAGGGCAATGCCTTGTGGCCAACACCACTTCAGCCTGGGCCCTGAGGCTCACAAGACACCTGCTGTCATGGCTGTCACCTGCGCCCGGGTGCCAGGTGCCTGGGGCTGTCCGTGGATGGCCAGGAGCTGTGCTGCACGGGGGTTCCTGAGTGGACAAGGGTCCTCAGCACAGCTAGGCCCAAAGGTGGAGGGGTTATGGGGGGTGGGTGTCCTAGGTAATAGTGCTAGAGATGCTGGGAGGGCCATAGCTAGGTGGTTGTTGTGGGGCTGCCTTCAGTGGTCTCTGCCCAGGGCTCACAGCCCCTTGTCTGACCCCCCACTAGTGTTATGCGGTTCCTGGTGTCCAAGCGGAAGTTCAAGGAGAGCCTGCGGCCCTACGACGTGATGGATGTGATCGAGCAGTACTCAGCCGGCCACCTAGACATGCTGTCCCGCATCAAAAACCTGCAGTCCAGGCAAGAGCGCCCACCCTGCCCTGGGGTGTGGAGCAGGGTCCTCTGGGCCAAACCTGGGTGCTGTTCGGGGTCCGGTGCAGTGCAGGCTGCCTGTTCCTGGCAGAGATATGGCAGCGGATGCAGCTGCAGACACAGTGGCTGGCCCTACTTGCTGCCACATCTGGGCCCTTCCTCTCCGGCCCCACACCGGCCCTATGAGGGGTTTCTGCCATGTTCTCGTGTGGTCTGTTTTTGAATCTTTCTGTTGTTTCTCTCTTCTCTCTGCCCTTGCTTATGATGGGCAAGTGTGTATGTGTGTATGTGTGCACATGCACGTATGTGAATGCACACGTGTACTCACGCACGTGCAGACCATAGGTACACATGTGCACACACTTGTATGTGTAAAGTGCATGCATGTGCATGTGTGCACACGAGTGCAACACATGTTTTGCAGAAGTGTGTGGGTGTACGCATGTATCTGTGTGTGTTGTGTGTCCTTGCATGTATGTGTGCCCACGTGAGCTGGGGAGAGTAGTTCTGTTGAGAGGTAAAGGGCCAGTTTTCCCTGGGCCTATTGGGCAGCAGTTAGGCCATGTGGCACCTCTTCCTCCAGAATGGAAGGGCAGGTTCTCCCTTACCTCACACAGAGGGATTCCCATGGCCAGAGTAGGCGGTGGGGCTGGACAGGTGCCTGGCATGGCCGGGGCAGGGCACACGCGGGCACTGCCATCTCTGGCTTGTTCACTCTAGGAGTCAGTCGTACATGCATGTACACAGACACAGTAAGGACTCGGGACACACATGCACACAGAACTATGTCTACTCCCACATGCACGTGTGTGTTGGCACACATGTACACAAGTAACTGTTTCCTAAGTCTCATGTCCACATATATGTCCCATAGGCCAGCACACACACATGCACACTGAGTACACATGTGCTCAGAAGCACGCACTGTCCACACAAACGAGCACACGTGTCTGTGGTGCCTGTGATGCCATGGCTGTCGTGGGTCTGTCCTGGTGTGGGCCTCACCCTCTGCTGGCCAGGCCCTTCCACTGAAGCTGCTGCCAGTTCTCTGGCCCTGAAGCCTGGACTCTGGCTGTGGGGGTGTCTGGATGGTCGTGGCAGTACCGGGGGTCAGCCCAGCCTCTGGCCCCACAGCAGGTGGCGTCCACCCGGTTCCTCTTGAGATCCCAGGGGAGTGGTCCATCTAGGCCTCTAGCTCTCCCTTTGGGTGGGGCCGGGGGGTGACCCCTTCCTGTCCACAGGCTTGGGCCAGGAGGTCAGCTGCTCAGTATCCTCCTCGAGCATTGAGTAGACCTGTGTGTTTGTGCGAACGTGTGTGCACATGCAGTTGTGCACGTGCAAATGTGTGAGAGTGCATGTGTACACAGGTGTGTGAACGTGTGCCAGTGCATGCAAACATGCAGGTGTGTGCAGTGTGTGAGCATGTATGTGTGTCCACATGGGTGCAAGTGTGCGTGAGAGGCTGCCCCGGGTCCCAACAGCTGGCCCACCTCCACCGGTCACAGCAGCTGTTTTTGTTCACCAGACTCTTCTGTCCTAGATGGTCTCCTCTCCCTCCCTTTCCGTCTGGAAAACAGATGAGACAGACCCACCCCGCAGGAGCTGGATGTCTGTCGCTCACTGGCAGGGCCTTTGAGTCCTTCCTGGGACCCTTGGCACTCTGCTGCCAGTGTCCTGCGCATGTGGACACTGGCCCGGGCAGACGGGCACCGCGAGCTTGCGGCCCTGCCGGGTGCCGAGGTCCTGGAGCTCAGAGTCCTTGCGCCCGTCTGTACAGGGTTGGGGCGGCCTTCAGCAGGTCGTTCCTTTTGTCTATGCAAGTTCCTGCTGCCCCCCTCCTCCCATGTTGCTTCACGATGCATTTTCCCGGTGTCTCTTTTCTTGTTTACTCGCCAGGATAGATATGATTGTGGGCCCCCCACCCCCTTCAACTCCCCGGCACAAGAAGTACCCCAGCAAAGGACCCACGGCCCCTCCGAGAGAGTCACCCCAGTACTCACCTAGGTCAGGACACGCCCCCCCGTCTGTGTGGAATGCCAGTCCCCTTCGCTCCAGCCACATGACGGCAGCACCCTCTCTGCTCGACAGGACGTGGGGCTGTTTCTGTCCTTGACAAAGTGACGTCCTCTGAAGCCCCGGGAGGCTGGGCCTGGGGCCCTTGAGCTGCTCCTCTTGGCAGGTTCCTGGGGAGGCTGTGTGACACCTGTGTGACTGCTGTGGGGGTGCTCCCTGGGCACAAGTAGATGGCAGCCCCCCAGGGACCAGATGCGTTCAGACGTGAGAGTCTGCCTTGCGGGGTCTCTGCTTGAGCACCAATGTAGGCTCCTAGCACCACTGCCGGTGGGTCACCCTGGGCTGCTTATGGACCAAGCAGGCCCTCTGGCCTATAGACCCTGATGAAGAGTGACTAGGAAAGGCTCCAACCTGAGTGGGGCATCCAGGGGTTCCCCAGAGCCCTGGAATTTGTGTCTAGTTGTCACCGCAGTCAGGGTTCCTGCAGGAGGTGGTCCTGGCCAAAGGGGAGTGGGGTATTGAGGGCAGTTAGGTGTTAGGCAGCAGAACCAGGGTCATTGGTAGTGAATTTAGACATCGGAGCCTTCCTGTTCCCCTGGATGGTGAAATGATGGTTGTGACGCCCCCAGCAGGTCTGCGAGAGCAGCACCCAGGGCAGGGATGTGGGCTGAGGGCAGAGGCACCCTGTCTGTGCTGGCAGAGGGGACCAGGGATGTCCTGAAGGCCAGCAGGGATGCTGACCACTGGACCAATGGAGCGAGTTGGGTGTCTGACTCCTATGTGCTGGGGTTTCTGTGTGTGAGGCTGGGGATCAGTGTACTTGGCACCTCAGCCTGGCAGCTCTCCTATAAGAAAGGAGTTTCCGGGGGAGCAGGCCTGACCCAGGGCAGCCCAGACAGTGTTTTTCGCATACCCTGTCCTTCCTGTGCCCCACAAGGAGGACAGCCCCCAGGAAGCTGTGCCTCGAGACAGCAGCCTGCCCTTCTGGCATCGCTGTAGGGCCCAGGGGCTGAGGAGGCCCTGCCAGCCCTCAGAGCCCCCAGGCCTCCCGGACCACTGCAGCCAGAGGACACGCAGACTCCCACAGAGAAGGGGCTGAAGGGCCGACTGGGCACGAGGGGTTAAGCCCAGCTCCTCACCTGAGGCCCAGGGGAGGGGGTAGTGCAGAGTCAGGGAGCACCCACCAGCAGCAGCTCCAGGCCAACCCTGGGCTGAGGCTCCCAGGGCAGCAGCCAGGTGGATGGCCCGTCATGTGGCAGGGGTGAAGGCGCTGAGCGCCCGTGCCTGGACTGTGTGGACACTTGAACACCAGACAGCCCTCCTCCCGCTCTGTCCCCACGGCGTCTGCTTGGAGTCTGAGGGCCCTTCGTCCCCCCTGCCCCAGCCCCCCCGCATGATCAAGCATGATGCCCACTGGAGCATGAGGAGGCTGCCCCATGGCTGATGCAAGCCTGACCCCTCCTGCTTCCTGCGACAGACAGGACAGATCCCTGAGTCCCAACAGGCAATCAGGGCAGCTGTGGATGAGGAAGGCAGCCAGGGAAGGGGCAGTGGCTTCAAGTGGCACTGCTAGGGGGGCTGGCAGCCCTCCCCACTCTGGAGCCTGGAAAGAGGCTCCGCCCATGAGGCTCGCGTGGCCTGTGCCCAGGTCACTGTCCTGCCAGCCGCACCCTGGCCCCAGTGTGTTTGCCAAGTGTCCATGTGGCTGCACCCCTCCAGCTCAGGCGCCCACGCTGCTGCTCTCAAGGCCCCTTCTGAGCTCCTCTGGGGCCGTTCCTGCTCACACGGTGGTCAAGCAGAAGCCCCTCCAGGAAGGAGGCCTCCCTCCCGTCTTGTTGGCTTTCCTGACTGCTGCCCTTGTTTGAGGCCGGCTCAGCTGTGTTCTGCATCCCCCACTCGTGTGCACACAAGGGCACACTCACGTTCACACACGTGCGCGCACATACATGGAAGCACGCACACGCATGCACAGTAAGCACACACGTGTACATGCACGAGCGCACACGGACCCCTTCTGGTTGGCAGTGGCTCTGTCTGTCCCTTCTGGTTGTGCGTTGGCGGTTTTCAGTGTTAGTCTGCGTCCCCTCCCGCGTCTGGAGCATGGAGCGTATCCCTCACGCCCCCCTGCCCCCTACCCGCGCTTCTGTGGTTCCCTCTGCAGACCTTTAGCTCCGCCCCCTCCAGACCCCCGGGTGGGCGGGGCCTCAGTGGCACGTTATCCAGGAGCAGAGCCGGAGTGGGGGCTGGGCTCAGGGTGGGGAAGATGCGGGGAGCTGGGAGTGCATGGCCCTGACTTCCTTCTCTGCTCCTCGCTGATGTGCCAACCCCGCTGGGATGGGACGGTCAAGGGACAGGCCCCGAGGGTGGCAGAGAGCAGGACGGGGACCTGGCGCCTGGCGTCCGTCTGTCCTGGTTCCTCGCTGCCCTCAGTCGGCTCTGGCTCAGTTGGAGCCTGAAACTGGGGGTTGCGGCTTGGCCCAGGAGGAGACGCCTTGGGCCCCCGGCACTCTCACCCGACCTCACGCCCGGGGTGGGTCTCTTCCGGCAGAGTGGACCAGATCGTGGGTCGTGGCCCAGCGATGGCGGACAAAGACCGAGGCAAGGGCCCGGCGGAGGCGGAGCTGCCCGAGGACCCCAGCATGATGGGGAGGCTGGGGAAGGTGGAGAAGCAGGTGGGAGAGGCTGGGGGTCTGTGGTGTCCGCGCGGCTGCTGCGGGAGGGTGCGCCAGCTTTGTGGGGAGCTGAGGGCTGTGGTGTCTGGATCCCGGGTACCCCGTGAGCACTCCCAGGCCTGGGGCACTTTCCTTCTGCTGGCCAGCGCCTACAGACTCCAGGCCAAGCACTGGCTTGCTCGCTCTCTTCTCGCCTGGGGGGCACTGCTGCAGGGCCTGCGTGGTCATTCTCCACCCCACTTGGCTGACCTTGTCTGACTTTCCTCTACTCTCTTGGGAGCAAGTCCTCTGGAACCACACACAAGACCCTCTGCTGAGAGTCTGATTCTGGGAGCCCAGGAGAGGAACGGATGGTTCCTTCCGTCTTGAGTTTGCTCTATGGGTGAACCCACAGAGTGGCCCATACAAGCAAGAGTGTCCATGCTCTGAAGCCCTGAGGCCACATACCCTGATGGGGGTGGTCAGAGGCTGAGCTGCTGGGGGTGGGGGTGTGTGTGTGTGTGTGTCCTGCCTTCTATTGCCTCTGCAATTCTGTAGGTGACGTTCTGGGCCCCCCCACCTCTGGGGAGTGTCTAGGGTCCCCACACGTCCAGGGAGCATTGCTGCCCTCCCCAACTCCAAGGAGCATCCCAAACCCCCCCCCCCCCATGAGAAGCATCCAGCCCTTCCCACCTCCAGGGACCATCCTTCCCACCCCTGCCCCCCTCCCCAGCATGGGAAGCCTCCAGCGTGGCCCACTAGCCCCTCCCGCAGGTGCTGTCCATGGAGAAGAAGCTGGATTTCCTGGTGAACATCTACATGCAGCGCATGGGTGTCCCCCCGACGGAAACTGAGGCCTACTTTGGGGCCAAGGAGCCAGAGCCAGCGCCACCGTACCACAGCCCAGAGGACAGCCGGGACCACGGTGGCCGGAGTGGCTGCATCATCAAGCTTGTCCGCTCCACCAGCTCCATGGGCCAGAAGAACTTCGCAGCGCCCCCGCCTGCACCCCCTGCCCAGTGCCCACCCTCCACCTCATGGCAGCAGCAGTGCCACCCCCGCCCAGGCCACGGCACCTCACCCGTGGGGGACCACAGCTCGCTCGTGCGCATCCCGCCGCCACCCGCCCACGAGCGGTCCCTATCTGCTTATAGCGGGGGCCACCGGGCCAGCACGGAGTTCCTGAGGCCGGAGGATGCCCCGGCCTGCAGGCCCCACGAGGGCGCGCTGAGGGACAGTGACACATCCATCTCCATTCCATCCGTGGACCATGAGGAGCTGGAGCGCTCTTTCAGTGGCTTCAGCATCTCCCAGTCCAAGGAGAACCTGGACGCCCTCAACAGCTGCTACGCGGCGGTCGCTCCGTGTGCCAAAGTCAGGCCCTACATCGCAGAGGGCGAGTCGGACACGGACTCGGACCTCTGCACCCCGTGCGGGCCCCCACCACGCTCCGCGACGGGCGAGGGCCCTTTCGGTGATATGGGCTGGGCCGGGCCCCGGAAGTGAGGCCACCCGCTAGCCTCCCCCTGACTCCTGGCCTCCTGGTCTTGAGGCAGATGCTCTGGGGCCCTTTTCTTAGAGCAAGGCAGGGGTGCCCGTGCAGGGCAGCAGGCAGGCGTGGCCCTCAGTCTCTCACACTGAAGGCTGGCAGAAATTCTTTTCCAGCAAGGGGCAGCCCGGCTGGCCTTGCCCACTCGGCAGACTCTGCAGACCATTGGCCTGGGCATGACAGAGGCCGGGGTCAAGGCTGAGGACAGGCACCCTGTGGCCAGGTGGAGGCTTGGTTGGGGGCAGGGTGGCAGCGAGGGGCAGATCTGCCTCGTGAGGATCAGCAGCTTTGAGGCCCAGGGCGTGTGGCTTGTCTCTGCCCCCATTCCTGTCCTGCCCCATCATCCTGGGTACCACCCGCAGCTGCTGGTCAGTGTCACCACCTTCCCCCTGGTTCCGAGCATCCTGTGACAGGAGCCAGCCCCACGTTCAGGACTCTGGCCTGAAGGGGGCGTGGGGGCGAGGCTTTGGACCCCCTCCAGAACAGAATGGCCTCTGACCTCCGGAAATTGATTCCTGTGGGGAGGGACCGGCTCCATAGGCTCCTGGAAGAGATCCTTGGGGGCTCCCTTCCAGACTTGGAAGCTGGAGGGGTGTCCCCTGTGTCCTCTTCCCTCTCTCTTGGCTGGGCGCTGGTCACCACTCTGTGGCCAGCACTGTGACATGGACCTGCCTGTGGGAATGTGTGCTGAGTGGCTAGGGGGCCCCCCGGCTGGGCTCGTGCTCTGGGGTCCTGACCGGGCCAGTTGTGGTGAGTTGATTTACTCGCTGTCCTCCAGGGACCCTGCTTCACCTGTCCCGCATCAGCCCCCCAACAGGACCCCTGCTGGACGATGCTGCAGCTGATGGGAAAACCCTTCAGTAGAGTCCTGCCCTGCAATGTCCAGAGATGAAGGAGCTGCCTTGTAGGTGGTCTCTCCTGTCCCTCCTAGGCTGACCATCCCCCGCCCTCTCCTCACTGACCAGCCCTTGACTGTGACCGCTGGGTGTCTTGGGATCAGAGATGCCTGTTCCCACCCTGGGCCCTGGGAAACAGTGGTGCCCATCCTTCTCTTCTTGGGCCTGAGGAGCAGTCGCTTTGAGCCAGGAGTCCACCCCCAGGAGGCGGAGTGGACCCCATCCTGGGCCCCCAGCTGTCAGTGTGCAGGGGCATCTGGCGTTTGGGGTGACAGGACAGCAAGCCTGGGCACCTAGTGTCCTCTGAGGCAGTGACCTTCCTGTGCGTCAGGGCTGGGTCCACGAAGCCTACCACGTAGTGACTTCCCCTGAAATACCAGGTCCAGGGAGAGCCTGAGCTGTCTCCTCAGGACGCTTCCATCCATCCTGGTCAGTGAGAGACTCTGCTTGCTCTCTGGGAAGGACTTTGAAAGCAGCGTCCGAGGGTCGAATGCCCCTGGCTGTTGGGGTCCTGGCCCTCTGAGATCCCTGGGGAGCAGTGTCTACTACAGCCTCTGTGCATTCCCCCCCTTCACCAGGACCCCCAGGTCCCCACCATGTGTACCTGTCTGCTAGCCCAGTGCAGGAGGACCCGAGCTCGGAGTCAGAACCATGGTCTGTGTTCAGGGCCAAGGCACAAGGATGCCCCCCGCCCCCAGTCTCCAGGGAGGGGTTGGCTATGGAATCTTCCATGTGGCCTGGGGCCGGGGGGGGGGGTGCCTCTTCGGCTCCCTCCACCCAGCGTGTCTGCTCTGTACACCCTTGGTGTTCTCCCTTTCAGACCTTCAGTGGTGAGCAAAGCTCCTCCTTAGTGTTGGCTGTGTGAAGAGGCCCTGGCAAGTGGCAGCTCCTCTGGGTGAGGGCAGAGCCCTCCTTTGCCCCCCATCTTGGGAGAGAGAGGCCCCAGATGGAGGCCCCCAACAAGGCACGAGCAGGCCAGCTCCTGGACCAAGTGTATCCACAGCTGCTCCAGCCCCAGTTGTTGCTGTCCGGCTCTGGGAGGGTTCGATTCAGGTTGCCAGCAGCAGGGACCCACCCCTGTCAGATCTTGGCCTGCATGGGCCCCTGGCCTGCTAGGAGAGGCCTTTGGCCCCTGGAGAGAGGTGTGTGTCCTGTCACTTGCATGCCCTGTTGTGGGTCCCTGGTGACAAGAGGGGCTGGCTTGGTCCACAGAGCTGCTGAGCCAGATGCTGGCACCAAGGCCACTGCTGGGAGGGCCTCCAAGGTTGCAGAAGGAGGGGTTGAGGCCCAACTCTCCACGTGCTGTGCTCAGCAAGGAGTCTGTGACGCCTCCTCCATGAAATCCTGCCCCCTCCCCCGGTCTCTGCTTGGGGGACCGTTTCGCGGTGAGGTTTTAGGAGATGATGGGGTAGAGGCTCTTCTTAGGGGTCCGAGCAACATGTGTTCCTTTGTGTCCATCTGCTGCCCCAGGGCCCCCACCTTCAGGAGCTATGGCAGGAGAGTGCTTGGCACTCCGGGGACGTCGGCGCACTTCCTGGGTGACCCGTGGCTGCGGGCCCACCCTGCCCCACCGCACATGTGGTAGGCGCTTCCCAAGAGAAGCATCTCAGTTACCCGATCACGTGGCTCCCCCAGCCCTGCACATGCCTGTGCTCACACTCCTGCCTGCAGACATACAGCACATACACACTCATGCATACACACCCACAGGTACACGCACAGCACCTGCACACGGAGTCACATGCATTCTCACCCAGACACACCAGAGTGCACACACTTACCCATGTAATGCACAATCATACACACCATGTACACACACCCATGCTCACATACTCACACATCCATGTGCACACACGCTTACCCACGCATGCACAGATGCCTTGTCTGCTTCAATCCGTAGGAATCAGCAAGTTCGGGAGTTGCAGACAGTCCTGGGACATTGACCCTGGGTGGGGTTCCCGCTCTTCTGGCCCCTGGGCAGCACCTCAGGGGGATCCCCAGAGCCCAGGCAGGTTCCCACCTACCCTCTTCCTCCTCCTCAACTGCCCCAGAGGCTGTCCAGATGCCAAGATGGCCTAGGCTGGGCCAGGGAGATCTTGGTGTCTGTGGGCATCCAGCTGCAATGTGGGGGCTCTGGTGGCTCCCTCCGCCCTCCTGAGCCATGTGGCCCAGCCTCAGGACCCTCTCCGTTTTCTGCCCTACACCCCCCTGTTCTGTGACAGCATGAGCCGTGGCCACCGTGGAGGATGAAGGAACCCAGCCAGGGGGCAGGGGACTCCCTCCGGTGCCTCCCTGCCGGGCCCCTCCCTCTGGGAGACCATGGCACCCCCGTGGGAGCACCACCCTCCTTTGGGGGGATTTGCCAGGGAGTCCGCCCCATGAGGAGAGCCAGTCACTGCCCTCTAATTAACATTGTCAGCCGGAGCGGTCACCAGACAGCAGCTCTGCACAGCTTTCACAGATGGTTTTAACTTCTCCCTTCCCTAGGCTGGGGCACCCTGGTGGTCATGGGCCTAAGATGTCAACACGGGACGGGGGGAGGTGTCCTCTTCTCTGCTATGCCATGTACCTGCCGTTTGTGGACAGAACGTGGCCCTGGGACATTGCTGATGCTTCTGAAGCCCCAGAGGATGGGGGCTGCAGACAGGCCTTCGTAAGAGTGCTGGTGTTAATTCCCATGCTCCCCCGACGTCAAGACCACACCAGGCGCTGGTGGAGTCATCGGCCTGGATTTCCTGCTGCAGTCAACATTGGTTCCGCACCCAAATCTCCAGAATACATGGCTGTGAAGAGGGCCGGTCCAGCAGGGAGGCCCCACCTGGAGGGTTCAGGTCACCCTGCCCGCAGTGGGGTGGGGAGTTCTGAGCCACAGGGTGCCTCCATGACCCCCAGTTCACACGGCTCCAAATTATACACTCTTCCTCGCGTGCACTGCCCTGCATGGTCTTCAGCTGCCCTGGGCAGTGATGTGGACAGTCTTGCCCTCTGTGACCCCTGAGCAGAACTCCAGGCTGCCTGCTTGTGTGGATGGATGTTCGGCCCCGCTGGGCCAGGCTATTTGCTTTTAGTGCCCAGGGGAGCCCCAGGCTCCCTGAGTCGGATGCCCAGTGGACCTGTGCACTTATTCCAGGCCAGCTGCTTCCTGTGTCCTGCCCCCAGGGCGGTTCCACTTGAGCCTTTACCAAGTACTAAGTGGGAGAGATGATCGGGGAGCTTCCTGGAGGAGGTGATCTGCTCGGATCAGGGGCTTACGCCTACCCTCTGTCCAAGGGGCCTAGAAAGCCGGCTGCCCAGGGCAGAACACTGTAGCCCCTGAAGCTGCACAAATGAGGCACACAGCTTGCTGGCTTCTGTTGACTTGTGAGGATGGGGGCAGATGTGGAGGGCATTCTGGAGGGAGGAGAATGCCCCTTCCTCCTAGGAAGGAGGTAGGGAGCTTGAAAAAGATGCTTGTGGGAGGAGAGACCCCTCTGTCTTGAGGAGGAGTTGGGTGGCTCTTGCCTTGGATACTTGCATGGGTCCCCTTGCCTGATGGAGGTGTGGCTGGATGGCCCTGTCTGGAGAGCCACTCAGTATAGGCAGATCAGGCACCGGGAGAGGTGGGGACCTTCCTGGGGGACAGCCCTTGGTCCTGGGGTTTCTGGGCAGGTGTGTGGACTTTGCTGAACGCTGCACGTCCAGCTCTGACTGAGTTTCATAAAGTTGTTGCCTTAATGCACGTTGACAAAAATTCACCGTGGTCACCCCCTGCCCCCTTGGCCTCTGCCAGGCACCAATCTGCGACCCCGCCACCTCCTCCATCCAGGGTCTGCGGGCCCAGGTCTGCAGCAAGTACAGGGGGTAGGGGACCTCATGGCATGGTTCCTGTGGGGCTCTGCCTACCCACCCACCTGGGGACCCCACCTCCATCCCACGCCGTCCAAAGGCCGCCCTGGCCCCAGCCCCAGCCCCGTCTGCGCTGTTGTCTTGGCTGTCTTTGCACTTTTGTTCATGTTCATGCTCCAAAGAATATGTCATGATGCCTTCAGTGCTGATGAGCACCGTTGCGCCCGCGCCCCTGCAGCACAGCCGGGCCTCTGCTCCTGGACCTGTCACCCCTGTGACAGGTGACCTGCGTGCCGTCCATTTTCCAGGGACAGACGCCCAGGGAAAGAATCTAGTTTTCTACAGACCAGCTGAGACTCACTGACTGCACTCACTGTCAGGCTGACACGTGTGCCACCCCGAGGGCCCAGCGCAGGCTGCCTGGGGACGGCGGGTGCAGGATCTGGTGACAGGAACACACGTGGGAGGTTCTGGAAAGCTGTAGCGCCACGGGGATGAGTCAGATGCCCAGTGGACCTGTGCACTTAGTAAAACACAGTGATTCAACCTGGACAGTGTGTGGCCTCTTTCCTCGGGGCTCAGGGCTGTTGGCCTATGACAGGGCCTAGGTGGGGTTGCACCCTCCAAGGTCAGGGCACCGAGCCCTGTCAGGGTCCTATCACTGGTATAGTGCTGGAGGACAAGCTGGTGGCTCACACAACAGACATGCTCATGACCCCGGACCTGGGATCTGAGTGCACCGAGCTCCCCACCTGGCCCTTCTCTCCGCCACTGGGAGTGGCAAGAGTCCTGGGAATGGCCCCTCCAGCCTGGGGCCCTCAGGAAATGCTGGGTGGGCGCCAGCAGGGGCCTTTTCTCAGGTGTGGGTTCTGTGCATGAGTGGAGACCCAGAACTCGCCGTTGGCTCCCTGCCTGGACTCTGAAGTCCTCCAGGCCCTCCTGCCGAGTTGGCACCTGCTCTGTCGCTGACCCCATACCTCCTCTCTGTGAGAGGAATGGGCTGCAGGTGGGTCTGAGATGTGGGGGCGAGCTGAGCCTGTGTTTTCAACTATACTACCCACTGCCCTCTGGAATTTTCCACTCCGCTGGACCCTCCTGGGGGTCAGCTGAGTAGGAAGAGCAGCTCAGCAGTTCAATGGCCTGAGAGGAAGTGACCAGGCCTGGACTGCTGCCTCCATAGCCTGTTCCCAGGTCACCTGGCTCTGCAGCAGGGGCTTAGGGAGGGGCCTGGCAGGCCCAGGCCACCCACCAGAGGCCTTTGTGCTGTGAGACTTCCAGAAAGTTCTGGCCGGGGTAGCCTTGGGTTTGGTGGAGAACTGTGCTCTAGGTGCAGCTGGGCTCCTGCCTGCAGGCGCAGGATCCCCTGCTGTTCTCACATGTGTCCACCCAGATCACCTACCCAGGTCCTGCTGTGTCCCTGCACATCTTCGAGAGCCAGAGAAGAGGGCTCCAGAGACGAGGGGTCATACCAGACCCCTGGGGGCCCTGCTCTCCCTCCTAGGGGTGCTGGTCCAAGGGTGCCGTGGGCACCTGCTGTCCACCAGCTCATCCACTGCCTGCCCTCCACAGGGCCACTTGGACACCTACTGGTCCGTTGGCCCCTCCCTCATCCTGAAATCTTGCTCCTCCGCAGTCCTGCCCCTTCCACCCACCTGGACAAGCCCTCTGGGCGTAAGAAGATGATGTCCCCCCCTCCCCGTCCCGTGGTGCGTGTCCTGATGGCTTACGAGCCCCCCACAAGCTCATGTGCCCCCTTGATCACATGCCCCTGTCTGTGACTCATGTTCCGCCAGGGTTCCTGGCATGCGGGGCGTCTCTGAGTGCCCGAAGGTGAAGTGGGCAGGGGACCCAGCGTGTGAGTGCTGGCCTGGGAAGGTCAGAGGAGACTGTGGTGACGTCGTGATAGGACACGTGGTGGACAGATGCCATGGGCAGGCACGGGCTGTAGGGAGGCTGGCGGGGAATGCCAGCCTCTAGGTGTGTCCAGCCTTTGCCCAACCTTAAGCCCCTCCAGGATGGATGCCCCCTCTCGCTCTTCCTGGGCCCCAGGGCCTCTACATCCTGGTGCCACTAGGTGGCAGCACTCACCTGGAGGAGAGCTGCCCGGAGCTCTGGGACACGGAGCCTATCTGGGGAACCATCCCCGGCAGTTCCCAGGGACCATCATTCCTCGACTTGAAAAGGCTGACTGGTGGCTTCCGCTGTGCCGACGTTCCCAGGCCTGGCCCTGGACTCTGTGGCACCCGGGGAAGGGCCTGAGGGTTCAGGGAAGGGCTGCTCCTTGTGGTGGGGGCTGGTAAGCTGGAGGGGGGGAGGCTAGGATGCTAGCCAGGCCCTTAGGCTTCAGGAGAGTAGGAGGCACTGCTCCATCCAACCACTTTGGTCTGGGTCCCTGTGTCTACTGACTTGCCTGGTGCTTGTTCTACTGCTCTGCAATCCAGGGCTCGAAGATGGGGTGGCTGCAGCCACAGTCCCACCTGGACCCTCAAACCTGCAGCCCCTGGGATCCCAAGACCATGAGGTGGTGTTCTCGGAATTGAACTTGGCTTGGTGGTGTTAGTGGTAAAGAACCCGCCTGCCAAAGCAAGAGATGTAAGAGCTTCAAGTTCAATCCCTGGCTCTGGAAGATCCCCTGGAGGAGAAAATGGCAACCTACTCCAGTATTCTTGCCTGGAAAATCCCACAGACAGAGGAGCCTGATGAGCTATAGTCCATGGGGTGGCAAAGAGTTGGACACGACTGAAGTGACTTAGCACACAAGACTGAAGGCTTCTCTGGGAGTGGTGCCCTTCATTCATTCAAGCACTCATTCTTTCTTTCATTCATTCACATATTCATTCACTCATTCATTCATTCAGGTATTCATTCATTCACTGAACAGGCCTGTGTCAGTCCCTAGAGCAGCAACAAGAATGAGGCAGACACGGCCTTGAGCTCAGGGACTCTGAAACCCAGACTGTGGACACCACTTATGAAGCCTGACTTTTCATGACGGCTACTGGAGCACAGACTGTAGGGACAGAAATACCACTGTGTGTGTGAGGTCAGAGGTCAGACAGCTCCATGGGTGATGACAGGCTGCCCTTGCTGGCTTGTCAGGCACCTTTGTCTCAAGGCAGAGCCTAATTCAATCCTGGGTCAGTGGTCCTAATGGACCATAGATGCAGCAGGCCCTGGGCAAGCATTGACCCTTGACCCTCCAGGAGTCCCAAGTGGGATGCTGGTGCTGGGACTGTCCCACCACCCCGCCCAAGCAGCTGAATCCCAGGGAGGGAGCCACAGACACAGACTTGGGAGGGAGTCTTGGACACAGACCTGGAAGCTATCTCCCATTACTAGAGCTGCTGCCCAGAGCAAGTTCTGTTGTCACCGGCTCCCTTTCCGGAAGCTGACGGAGCAAATCTCCCTGACCTTCTCCTCACACAGCTCAGCTCAGGCCCTGCGCTGGGTACCCAGGAGGCAGGCAGGGATGCTGGGCTTGTCTGCAAACGTTATTACATCCCCGAGGCTGGTGCTGCAGGGCAGGGCTCTAAGATCTGGTGAGACTTGGGTGAAGTTCAGGGTTTTCACAGGTGGGAAAGAGGGGTTACTGAGCAGGGGCCCAGCCATCATCACTGCCTGGTGTTTTGAGAGCCCCCAAACTGCCCCTCTAATGGTGGCATGGGGATTTGTGGGACACAGCTGTCCACACCAGCCCACCAGGCTGCCGGCTTAGAAGCTGCACATTTATGCTTGTCCCAGTGGAGGGCAGGCCCAGAAGTTTCTTCCGTGTGAGGGCAGACGTGAGCCCACCTCACCAAGTCTGTGTTCTTCTCTGCCTGGCTGGCTGTGCCCTCTCCTTCTGCACTCTGCCCCTCTGTCCTTGGCAGTGTCCTGCTCTGAACCCTTCTAGGGCCCCCCAGTGCCAGCAAGGAAATGTCCAAACTTTCCTCCCACATCTGGACCTTTGCGGGGGGTGACCACCGACACCTTCCTTCCTCCATGGCTCTTCCCCAATCCTGTGGTCCTTCTGGGGCCACCTCCACTCCTGCCTTCTCCTCGTAGCCTCTGTGCCGCCTTGCACCAGGGACCCTCCCTCGCGTAGACCTGTGTCCCATGGGTGGTGTACAGCCCCCTCTGTCCTCCCACCATGGGTCTCCTCCTCTGAGGCCCTCCCATCTCTCCAGGGCCAGCTTCTTGAGCCTAGGTGCCTGAGTTCCTGCAGACTCGCTGGGATTTGACACCAGAAAAGGCCCCAAATCCAGACACTGCTGGTCCTCAGGAAACCCTGCCCCATAGCAGCCAGCATCTGCTTTTACGAGTTGCAAGAATGTCATTTCTTTTTCAGTTTAAGATGAAACAGCTTAACTCAAGCAATTGGCGTTTTACTTCTGCACATGCAGAAGGAGGCCTTGCTGGTGATGCTGGCACGTGGCCTGTGCTTCTCAGACATTTTTAGGTGGAAAATGCCTGTCAGTTTTCAAGCATGGCCTTGACACCGGGCCTGCTGGGAGCAGAGAACACAGGGGGTGGCTTGGGACACTGCCTTCCTTCCTGCAGTGACCCTGGGTGGGACCTGCCCAGGGTGTCCACGGGCCAGTGGACCAGGAGGGGGCTGGGGGCAGGACTCATGCTTACAGGAGCTGTGCTCACTCAGCCAAGAGTATCTATGGAGCACCTACTGAATGAATCCTTTGTTCTCTGCATTGTGGGGAGGCAGGGGAGAAGGCGTGGCTAAGCCCTTGAGGCCCTCAGGGACCCGCTGGACTCCTGGGAGGGGGTCTGAGAGGACAATGGTGCTCTGACTATCCAGTGGTCAGTCTGCACCAACAGTGGCCCCAATCCAGCCACTTCCTCCATCGGCCCCTGGCCCAGGAGCTGGAGAAAACAGCTCAGCCCTGTCCGCCACCCGCGCCATTCGCCGGAGCCAGACAGCTGGAGCTGGGACTCCCTCCTTGACATTCAGAGCTGCTAATTTTTCATCACAGGGTGGGTTTGACATTTGCATTGGAATTGGATTCTGTTAACTTCCTCTGGCGGCTGGCTGGCGCAGAGACTGAATCCTCCCGTCTGCCGCATCGCTGCCTGCGGTCCACCCCCCACCCCGCCCCCGCCCACTCCCAGGGAGGCTCAGGGCCCGGCCACCTAGACACCGACCTGGTCCTCCACCCAACCTCTGCTTCCACCTTGACCTCAGGACATGGCTGCCCACCTGGCCCCTGGGAAGCTCCCCCACAAGGGTGTCCGGGGGCCCTGGTCCTGGGGCCATCTTCCCTGGCGAAGTCCCAGCACACCTGCCCCTTCACTGTTTTAGTGCCCAAGTCCCATGTCATCTGCGTCAGGTCAGGGTGGCTCCCTTCTTCTCATCCCAGCATCCACACACGTTGGCACCCCCTGGCACCAGCTAGCCCAGGAGCATGCTCCCTGCAGCATCCAAGCCTCACGGGGCGCACCATCCCTCCACGCTCCTGGTGCTGCTGTGCTGTGCCTACATCCGGAGAATGGGTGCCCGCCAATCCCGGGCCGGGAAGGCTCACTCACCGGTCTTGTAGACAAGGGCCAGGGGGATGGGC